TATCAACGACCAAAGGCGTCATGGTGGCAGCGGGGAGACTTCCGCCATCCGCACCTCCGAAGCTCACGGCTGCAGCAGAGGCAGTATCAGGCTCTATATGATCATCGGCATGCCACGCTTGCTCAAAGACGGCAGAAGGCTCAGGTGTCCAGGACGCACTGGAGGCATTTGCTGCGTTCCAACTGTGACCCGCCGGAACCGAAGGGTCTACGGCCTCCGCATCTATAGCGAGCGGACTCAGCCGTGTCCACTCTGGCACCTCAGCGCTGACAGAACCTGATGCCGGGAGAGAGGGCGAGGGATGCGTGGTATCTGGGTCGCTGGAGGAGTCGCCCAGGGGTTTCGCCTCAACATAGAAGAGGAGAATAGGACATCCTTGAACCTTGACATACTCCCCGGTGCACCGACCTCCAACTACGCCGATTTGCATGGCAGCCGGCAACTCGATCTGAAAATCTGACAAGATACTGGGCACATGAAGCTTCGGCACATGGGAGTGTATGAACTCCGGCTTAAGGCCAAGGGGTCGGAAGTCGCAGAGTGCGAAAAAGTCCTGCCTCGCCCTGGTCGCTTCGCCATCCACAAAAGGAGGCCGGTCGAGGATGACCACAACCTGTGAGCATGACCAGCCTTGAACATCAAGATCAGGCAGTGCAAAGGTGCATGCCAAGATGGAGTTAACATCCAGGCGCAGGCTACTAACAGCGTGGTCCAGAACTGTTCGGCCTGGGTGGTGGTGATCTCCAACACAGAAGCGTTGTTTGCGATATATGACGCATACACCCTCGCATTTTTCAACAGGGAAGAAATGATGCAGCGGTCCCCATAGCGCATGGTCTTCCAGTGCCTCAGGCTGACGCTTTGCGAAGGTAACATTATGGCGGAGGACGGTAATGACATCCCCGTCGCTCAGGCCCACCAGGGCGGCCTCAGGCCAAGGGTATGTTCGGCACCGAACATAGATGTGAAGCGGGTCATCGCCCTCAGAAGTGAGAGGGACGATGAATTCACGCAGGCTGGCATAGGACATGTGTCTTGGCAGAACTGAGGCAAAATAATGCCCTCCGACTCTCGTCAGATCGAGCACTACTGCAGAGTAACCTTCACCTGTTTGGCCTAGAATACTAGGAAACCTGATGGCAGAAAGGTAATCTCCAAAGCGCTGCGGTCGTAAAGGCACTATGCATTCCATGAGTCCTTCTGGGGCGCCAGGGGCACAGTCGAGAACGATGTCCAGAACACTGCGTAGACTGGTACCCTTCGCAACTCTTACCGCCAGAGAAACCGGGGAGTAGTACGGGGTATAAAGATAAACCCCCAGCCAGTCACAACTATCACTAGCGGCTGGGCCTCCTGGGGGCCATCCTGAACCATGCACACAAACAGACTGGTTGATCCGGTTGCGGCGTTCCGGGTCGTGAAGGGGGGACTCGGGAGCAGCTTCACCCACAAAGGAGACAAAGTTCTCTGACGGCGCCGCATACAGGACTCTTCCAGCGGCAGGGCCCTCACCTGGGGCCGGGGGCCGGCTCATACCATGGGCACCAGGCAGGGCCAGGTAGAGCATTGTAAGTGTGGACCCATGCTGGACAGAGAAGATCTGGCACGGGTAGCTGCTGAACCCAACGAGAACCTGGAGAAGTACAAAACCCCATTTGCCAACGCCGAACTTTTGTGGCGAAGATAGACGGCAGTGTCGCGGTCGGCACAGACGTCCTTTGCGGTCTCGCCAAGGGGACCAGCTCAGCGCAGGAGTGCTGGCCCGCGTAAAGCCCAGCGGGGAGACCACAACAAGATCGGTACCTCCAGCAAGTCGTCCCCTGCCGGCTCGCCAGATCATTTTCAACAGAGCCACAAGGAGCAAAGCAGTGAGGCTCCTTACAAAGGGAAAAGTGAAATCGAATACCTTTAGTATCCAAACAAGACCTCCGGACGCATCCGATGGAGGAGCCATGTTAGGGTCTATGGCCCGGGGCCATTGATGGAGCTGATTGGCACTCCTAACCTGAGGGCCAAAAGCATTGCCTACCTGACGCGGCTCCGAACAAATGTTCCCTCGTGAGCTCGCGAAGCAAGGCAACATGCGAACAGAAGGTAGGCCGAGGGCGGGAAAAGCATGTAGCACGGCCGGACCAGGCCACAGAAGCTCACCCGATATGCAGGACGCCGAAAGCCCACATGGCCTGACTGCCAGAAATCCGTCTCCGCCTGAGCCGAAACTCGGATGCGTAACATGACGATGCCTGTTGCTGGCCCTTGTCCCAGAGCCACCGATACAAGTGTTTGGCGCGCAACAACATGGCATGTGAGGCACTACATAGAGGGGGCACAGCTCCAGTAGCAGACGGGGGCAAGGTCCGAAAAAGGGGCCGGCCGAGGAAAGATGCATCCGACTGGCGAGTGGACGTGGAGCAGAAAAGGCAAGCGACAAACCGCAGTGGAGATTGAAAGCCCAATGGCATTGTTGGATGTTGGCCCTTGTCCCTGAGCCACCGATACAAGTGTTGGGCGCACAACAACTCAGCAAGCAGGAGCCGATGCAAGGAATGGAGCAAAGCTCCAGCTGTAGGCGGGGGCACGGTCCCAAAAAGGGGCCGGCCGAGGAAGACGGCCTCCGACTGAGGAGTGGACGTACGGCGGAAAAGGTAAGCAAAGAGTCACAAGGCAGTTTGCTGAACCCATGGCAATGCTGAGTGTTGGCCCTTGTCCCTGAGCCACCGATACAAGTGTTGGGCGCACAACAACTCAGCAGGCAGAAGCCGATGCAAGAAATGGAGCGGAGCTCCAGCTGCAGGCGGGGGCACGGTCCCAAAAAGGGAGCGGCCGAGGAGAACAGCGTCCGACTGAGGAGTGGACGTACGGCGGAAAAGGTAAGCAAAAGGTCACAAGGCAATTGGCTGGACCCATGGCATTGCTGAGTGTTGGCCCTTGTCCCTGAGCCACCGATACAAGTGTTGGGCGCACAACAACTCAGCAGGCAGAAGCCAATGCAAGAAATGGAGCGGAGCTCCAACTGCAGGCGGGGGCACAAATCCGTATAGGAGCCGACCAGGGAAAAAGGCCATGCAGTATAGACTGTAGGGAAAAGGGTGCTCGGGCAGAGAGCCCAACTCAGTAAAAACAGCTGGCAGAGAGGGAGTGAAACTTCAAAACCACCTACCCTCTCAGAAGAAAGAGGTCCTGTCTCCAGACTAGTACCTGACTGAACAGCCAACCCATAGGGCAACATGTCAATCCGAGAATCAAGATGGTATCCCATCGCCATCTGATTCTCGCGATTGACGGGGCCCCCGAGGAGGCAGTCAGATAGGCAAGAGTCCTTCGACATGATCTCCTGAGGCCGAGTGTCCGTTACTCTAGCTTGCCCAAACCAGGCGATCGCGACCCAAGCAGTTCGTCCTCGCGATCGTCGTCGATGAGGGTCCCTTTCAGACCCGAGGGCTCGGCCACGTCCGGTGCCACCGCAGCAGAGAACTCGACCGGCACGTCCGGCGGTCTTCCAGACCCAAAAGGAGCCAGGGCCGAGCGATGGGCACGTCTTTTCTCCGACAACTTTGCCGCAAGACTGCTTCGATCCCCTTCCGAAAGTGGGGCCGCACGGGGATCTGGTAGTCCAGGAGGTGCAGAAGCTGCAAGCGCGCTGGCTGCCATCGGAGTCGGATATCCATCCGAGGTGGCGCACGCTGAGACAGCGGGTGTGCGCGGGGTAGCACCTGTGCCTCGAGGGGGAGTACGGAAGTCGGCAGCACCAGGAACTTTGGCAAGCATTCTGGTGAGCTCGGATCTGGTCTGCTCCTCCGTCAGGTCGTCGATTTCCATAGCTGTCTCCCACTCCAGGGGAGGCGGTGGAAGGGAGGCCCGCTGCTGGTGGAGGGCTGCTTCTTGAACTTGGGCATAGGCCGCCTGGGTTTGCTCCTCCAGGTCCCTCAGCTCCCCGTTCAGCCGGGCCTGTTCGGTCTTGTGACGCTCCATCTCCTGCGCATATCTCGCACGCATCTTGAGCACCCATGCATCCCATGCACGGCCACGTTGCAGGACCTCTTTCTGCACCTTCTGGAGTCTCTGTTCGAGCTTCCTCGCCGCATTGATAGCAGATTGAACATCTCGTACAATGCCGCCTGCGGGAGGGGCCGGCGAAACATGCGCGTCCACCGACATGATCTCCGAGGCATGGCGCCAGTCGGCATCGTAGGCCGGGAAGTCCGAAACATCCCTTTCCATACGGGCACGGCTTCTGGGAGATTGCTTCCAAGCTCCAGACCATAGGGACCAATTGCCCCCATAGTAAGCATCTCCAGAACCTTGCCCCGGCTGTCGCCATGGCCGCTGGTCAAACTTGGCCTTGTTCTTGCCCATGCGGAGAAACTTTCTCAGGCGTGCACGTTCAGGCGGCCCAGTGCCGTGATGTCTTGCCAAGAGAAAGGCCTGAAGCGGGGACGGCTTGTACCCCGTGCGGATCCACTGGCGGCCAGCAGAACGTCGAGCCCGAAGTCTCCGATGCCAGCTCGGCGACGGCGTCGCAATGGCAAAGGGCGGCGCACGTCTTCGCGTGCTGGGGCAACGGTTTTCCCTACAGCTCCAGCTGATGGGCGATCCGAGCCCTCCCTAGGGGCCTTAGTAATTCGAAGAAGGGTGTCTGGGCTCCTTTATAGTAGGGGTTTAGGGTTTAGGGTTTAGGGTTTAGGGTTTAGGGTTTAGGGTTTAGGGTTTTTTTAAGGAGTCCTAGGAAATTTGTTGGCAAGTATTTAGGCTCCTACTATAACCTGAGAACCAGAGCCCTACGGCCCAAAAACTGCGACCCGAAGACCCACAAAATTAGCACCTGAACCCGAAAGCCCAAACCGTACATGGCGCATATTATGACACACCCTGCTGCATCACCTACACCCTACGGTCCTTCACGATGGTATAGAACCAAAAATCTTTGTAGAACCCTATCGAACCTGTAACCCTAAACCCTGAACCAAACCCTAAACCCTAAACCCCTTACCCCCATCTGCCTTGGACCTGCAGCAGCGCGGCCACAAACTCGGTATAGTTGATGTGGCCATCCTCAGCTAGGGCTTAGGTTGGTTGGTTGGTTGGTTCCCTAAACCCTAAACCCTA